ACTAACTTAACTTACTTACGTTCGTACGGGTACGGGGTAACGGGTACGTACGACGTACTATATATATATATATATATATATATATATATATATATATATACACACACACACACACATACATACATACATACATACATACATACATACATACATACATACATACAAGGAATCAAATATATTTTGCTCCGGAAAGTGATTAATTAAAATGAAACAATATAAAAATATTTTGAAAACTTTATTACTGTTAATTTAAAAGAAATAAAATTACACCTTCATAAAATTATAGATACTGGGTTTGCATTTTTCCAGGATAGTCTTCAATTTCTAAAATAAGGATCTCTGTAACCAAACCTACTTAACAATGAAAACTTTCCACATTTTTTATTACCTTAAAGTTTTATATATGTTTTAAACTCCCTCTGTAAGGTAAACTATGTAACATTTAATATGGTTTTAAATTTATTGATAAAATAATTTTCATAAAATAATCAATTCTTTTCACAAGTGTGCCAAAATGGAAAATGTGGAGAAAAAGTATGATATTTTTCTATAATACACTTATCAAGGTGTGTCTTAACAGGTAATGGGCTATTATTTGTACTTTTGACATGAGATTTATGTATATTTATTCTTAAATGTCAGTTTTCTGTTTCTTCAACATATATTTGCATACATCGAGTACAACTAAGTCTAGAATTTATGGAAATATTTTCTCCCCAGTAAGGCCTGTAATATGTTTAGTGTATGTAGTATAATCTTTCCCACAAATATAACAATATGATGTTAACTAAGTCTTGTTAGATAGAGCCTTACTTTAGAAACTGAAGAGTATCCTGGAAGATACAAAGCCAGTATTTATGCTTTTATGTATGTGTGATTTTATTTATTTCTTTTAAATTAACATTAATAAACATGGAATAAAACCACATATACATGAAAGAATAAATTCTGGTTTTGTATTTTCCAGGATACTTTTCAGTTTCTAAAATAAGGTTCTCTCTAACATTAACTTGTATTTGTTATAAGCAAATGTATGTTGGAAAAATAGAAAATGTACGTTTAAGAATAAATTTACTTAAATCTCATGTCAATAATGTAAATAATATCTCATTATCTTTAAAGTTCTTTAAAAATATTGAAAAAACTTTATTACTGTTAATTTAATAGAAATAAATAAAAACCACACACATATAAAAGCATAAATATCAGTTTCGTATCTTCCAGGATACTCTTCTGTTTCTAAAATAAGGCCCTCTCTAACAAGACCTACTTAGTTTTTTAATGATATGATCATTGAAAGTTCAAGCTTTTTGGTTTGAAAAAATTTACATGCTTCAGTATCAACATTTTTAAACATCAGTTAATAGTGAACATTATTTTAGAATGTGTTTATGTTTGAAGGTAAATTTTGCATTATTAAGTAGGTCTTATTAGAGGTTAGAGAAAGTCTTATGTTAGAAACTGTATGTTAAAAATAAAGTGTATGCAAACTTACTAATTTTGTGTACAAACATATTTGAATGTTTTGTTAGATTTCATATTATTTTCTCATAAATTACAAGCCTAGTAATATTTTTTTATAAAATCTAGATTTAGTTGTAAG